TCCCTTTTTTTTTTTTTTTTCCCCATCTTTTTCAAATTTCGGTTGGAAAAACACGTAGCGCGGTGAGAAATAGAAAAAAAAAAAAAAGAAGAAATAGAACTCCGGCTTCGATTGCACGCTACCCGTCTTCCCCTGAATAGAACGTGTAAGGTCTTTATAGCCGTATTCAGTCTAGATACAGAGCGAGAATGACCGTATCTCTTCTATTCGGGGGAAGACGGCAGGGTATATATCCGCTGTATCTGGTCGCGATTTCGTTTCCGCTGATGATTCAGCCGAAATCCGCAGGAGCGTTCTGCTGACTCAGCGCAAATCTTACATAGCTGCTGAGTCAGCAGAAATCCGCAGGGAATTTCTGCTGAGTCAGCACAAAGTCTACCTTTCTGCTGACTCAGTGCAAATCCTACAGCGCTGCTGACTCAGCAGAAATCTGCAGCAGGGCATTTCAGCTGACTCAGCACAAATCCTACGTCGCTGCGGAATCAGCAGAAATCCGCAGTAGGTGTCTGCTGACTCAGCAGAAATCCGCGGAAGGTTTCTGCTGACTCAGCAGAACTCAATCCGCAGTAGGTTTCTGCTGGCTCAGCAGAACTCAATACGCAATAGGTTTCTGCTGACTCAGCAGCACTCAATTCGCAGTAGGTTTCTGCTGACTCAGCAGAACTCAATCCGCGGTAGGTTTCTGCTGACTCAGCAGAACTCAGTAGGTTTCTGCTGACTCAGCAGAAATCCGCAGGACTTGTATGGTGACTGACTCAGCGCAAGTCCGCGGGACTATTCTGCCGACTCAGCACTAGACTTTTCTACCGACTCAGCAGAAATATCTGCATGGTAAAAAACGGAAGATCTATCGATCCAATCTATTCTTTTATTCATCATATTTTTGTAATGAATAATTACAAAATTGAAACTACACAATACGAATACATTTCTCCTAACTCTTCGGAGACTCGCAGTGCATTTCTGCTTACGCAGGTCAAATTCCCGCAGGACCATTCTGCTGACTCGGCACCATTCTGCTGACTCACACAAATCCGCAGGACTTTATGCTGAGTCAGCAAAATCCACAGGACGTCTCTGCTGACTCAGCACAAGTGGACAGGACCATTCTGCTGACTGAGCAGACATCCACAGGACGTTTCTGCTGACTCAGCACAAGTAGCTGTTTTTTTTTCGTTTTTTTCTTTTCTTTGTTGATGACATGAGGCCTGCGGATTTGTGCGGCGTCATCACAAAGTCGGAACATCCGTTAAAAGTGGAACTCTCTCTCTCTCTCTCTCCCGCTCTCTCTCTCTCTCTCTCCCTCTCTCTGTCTCTCAGTGTATATTTCCATCTTCTAGCGGTAGATTCGTTCGATATTGCTCAACCTGTGGATGGAAGTACGATTCAAAGAAGAAGAATAAGTAGAGCATGGCCTCTGCGCAAGGATGACACGCATAAACCGAGAGATTCTTTGTAATTTAAAGACGAAAGATAGCAGCCGCAGTCAGTCTCTCATTACGACTTTCATCAATGCATGAAGGACAGATCAGTCAATGAATCTTCCCATCTACCAACCAATCCGTCCACAAATTAAAACGGGCATGCACCGATAAATCGAAGCACTACACCGATCCGTTGATATTTCAATCGACCAATCAATCAATCGATCAATCAATTAATCAATCAATCGATCAATCGATCAATCGATCAATCAATCAATCAATCAAAGGGCAAATTGCAGAAATACCCCGATTTGCAAACGTATCGTAGCAACTTTACCCCGCGGTCTGCGCAGGTTTGCTGGCAAACACACGGGTTTTCCGAGCAGCGCAGCCTCTCTCTTGTAAGGTGTATCTATGCAGAAATACCGGACCAGATACATACGAACGTTTCAGTTGCAAATATATACCGGGCGGTACCTGGTTTTGCAACAGAGGACTCGTAGGCCTTGGAGCCCTTTTGCCGCGGGCCAGACCGACGAGACCCCTGTTAGGGAAGCAGGCAGCGGGCGGTAAATCTGCACAGGAAGCTTCGGAAAAGGGTATTTCTGCAACTTGAAGGGTACATTTTTGCGAGCATACCTGCGCGGAACGGTATAGATGCAACGATACGTTTGCAAACCGGGGTATTTCTGCAATTTGACCATCAATCAATCAATCTTCAATCAATCTTCAATCAATCTTCAATCAATCTTTAATCAATCAGTCGAGCAGTCAATCAGTCGATCAGTCGATCAGTCGATCAGCTGTCTCTTATACACATCTAGATGTGTATAAGAGACAGGTATAGATCAGTCAATCAATTAATCAATCGATTGACAAACCAGTCAATCAATCAATGTAGTGAGAGACTAATCTGGACACGATTTTAAAATTCCATTACGACTTTTAAATCAGCAGTAAATAAATAAATTCAGAAAAGTTCGGAAAGGACTTACCTACTGACACTGATACTTATCCAAAAAAAAAGACGCGATTAAAAAAAAATCCATTACGATCCCTTTTTGCCAAGGGGGGGGGAAACATAACCAGGACCATAAAAAAAATAAGCGTGCAGAGGACAAAAAGAAACAAAAACAAAGGAAAAGAAAAGAAAAGAAAACGCGAACATTAAAGTAGAAGGGAAAAGAAGGTAGGAAAAAAAGCAAGCAAGATAAATCCGCATTGTTTTTTTTTTTTTTTTTTTTAATAAAGAAAACCAGTGTATTGATATGATAGGCTGTGATCTCTCTATAAAGCGGAACACATAAGTTCCTTAGCGATCGTTCTTCCTCTCTCTCTCTCTCTCTTTTGTCTGTCATTCTCTCCTTTCTTCCTCCGTTTTTCTTCCTCCCTTTTTTTTTCCTCCTCTCGTCCTCCTATGACAAAGTAAGCTGGGCGTTGGTGGTGGTGACCACCACACCTCGTTTACACAAGTTTTTTTTTTTTTTTTCTGTCGTTACTGAGTGGGTTCGTTTGACCCACACACAGCAAATTCCGAACTCGTACAGCTTGTCGGTCAAACGTTTCATTCGCTGTTTGTTTGTTTGTTTGTTTGTTTATTTGTTTTTTTTTCTGTGGTATTTCTATTTCTTTTCCACCCTCCGTTCATTCATTGAGTCGTGTCTTTTGGTGTTGAAGAAAAACGGCATTGTGTTTCTTGCTAGCCCTTCGTTTCGTTTGCTTTTGAAAATGTGTGTGTGTGTGTGTGTGTGTGTGTG